CACACACACACACACACACACACACACAACGCACTCTCACACACACAACATGGCAGCACACACAGACACACAGCTACACATGGACGCATGCGAGTGCAAACACCACCTTTGGACTGTAACTGAGTGAGTGTATCTGAATGAATTGCATTCTTTTGAATCTTTTTTGTTTTGTTTTGTTTTTCCTTTTTTAACAATGCTCCAATCTTATTTGTGGGGAGCCGCATGTGCTGGGAACCAGGCTCCGGGGGCCTAGTGTCCCTTCTATTTGTGGGTAGCAGCACGTGCTGGGAGGCGCGCCCAGGGCCCAGTGTCCCTTATGGAATTACTGAGAACAGATTGAGATCCCGGGGCCATTACCCGGCTTCGGCTAAGAAAATAGCATTCTATACAAATGAATGACCTTTTTTTTTTTTTTTTTTTTTAACCAACGACCTGTACTAGAGGGGGTGATAAGAGCAGCCGCCTCTAGTAGCTGTCATATGAACGATATGGGCATTTCTGTGCGTATATATTTTCAGGAGGACATCATTCCTGGATAGGCTTGGCGGGGTTGGTAATGGCTGTGTGACAGCAACAGGCCTACTTCGTAACTCGAAAGGACCCTAACATCATTCCCGGAAGTTTTATTTGAAATATTCGAATAAAAGTCCCTCTATGCCTGGGCTACCAGCCCGGCCGTCCGGGCTACCTTGTTTGCCCAGGCGGCCCAGCTGTGCAAAACCCTTCCCTGGTCCTAGCATAAAGGAAAAAAGGAATCCAAGGGAACACTATGTCATGCAGAAAAATATACGGAACAACTTTTGCCTCAGGGTCACATCGAAATTCTTTGCCAAATTATATATGTCCTCTTCTCCCTCTCCGCCAACGGTTTACCGGGCAGTTCTGTGTGACGATATATGGGCAGTTCTGTTTGTGACAATATATGCTACGACTTCGCTAGCTTCCTGCTACGGTTTTTTCCGGTCAGGTCGAGCGGAGTGGTCGGGGCCGTTACTAGGCAGCCATGCTGTGCCTCTAGTGCCAGCGGCGTGTCTGGAGTGTATTTTTTGGCTGTGACAGACCTTTCTTTGTTTCGTGGATGTTTTGATGGCTTGT